ATATTTTATTTCCTGAAAGATATGCCAAAATAGCTAAGGTCAAGGCAATAATTGCCGATATTCCTGCTGCCAAACCATCAATTCCGTCTGTAATATTTGCTCCGTTAGAAACTGCCGTAATAATAAAAATCACAATCAACACATAAGGCAACCAAGCTAAACTTTCTGGCAAAAACTGCCCTAAAATCCCATAATCAATCGTGTTATTTTTAAAAAATGGCACTGTTGTTATTAGCGAATGGCTAATATCTGAGTAGGTTTGTACATCGCCAACTTTTATTTTATCATAAATTCTAACTTTTACATTGTCATTAAAATAAAGCGTAAGCCCTACAATCAAGCCAAGCCCAACTTGTCCAACTACTTTAAAAATGCCTTTTAAGCCTTGTTTATCTTTTTTGAAAACTTTAATATAATCATCTGCAAAACCAATCATTCCCGTCCAAATCGTGGCAATTATCAGCAACAAAATATAGACATTATCAATACGTGCAAATAACAAAACTGGAATCAGCAATGAAGCTAAAATAATAAAGCCGCCCATTGTGGGTGTGCCTTTTTTCTCCATCTGACCTTGTAAACCCAAGTTACGGACAGTTTCGCCAATTTGCAAATTTCTGAGTAATACAATAATTCTACGTCCGTAAATTGCTGCAATCAACAACGAAAAAACGGTTGCAGCAGAAGCTCGGAACGTGATGTATTGGAAAACACCTGCTCCCGGAAAATTTAAAGTTTTGTCTAAAAATCTAAATAAGTAGTAAAGCATATTATACGAATTATTAATTATTAATTATGAATTAAAGCCAGTGAATCAGTAAATACTGAACCAATTTACAAATTCGGGTGAGGTGGTGATTTTCTGTGCTGCCTTTGTGGGGGCATGTATAGGCTTTTTGTGGTATAATGCCTACCCAGCCCAAGTGTTTATGGGCGATACTGGTAGCTTGATGCTAGGTAGTATTATTGCAGTATTATCGTTGGTTTTAAGAAAAGAAATGCTAATTCCAGTACTTTGTGGTGTTTTCTTGGTCGAAAACTTATCAGTAATTATGCAGGTGGCATATTTCAAATACCAAAAACGAAAACAAGGCTTAGAATATGCCCAAAAGAATCGCCTATTTTTGATGGCACCTTTGCACCATCATTTCCAGAAAAAAGGTTATCACGAAGCAAAAATTGTTACCCGCTTCTTGATTGTAGGCATTGTTCTTGCAGTGGTTTGTTTAGTAACATTGAAGTTGAGATAAGCTAGAACGGAGATAGGAGAAGTGAGATTGTAGAAAATATAATAGTGTCACTCAAAATCTCCTATCTCCATTCTCCTATCTCGAATCTCATATAAGATGAAAAAAAAATCAACCAATATAACCGTTATAGGTGGAGGTAGCTGGGCAACGGCTATCGTGAAGATTTTGTGCGAAGGTGATGTGAAAATAAAATGGTGGATGCGAGATGCCAAAGACGTGGCACATATCAAAAAACACCATCATAATCCACAATATTTGAGTAGTGTAGAGATACATCTTTCAAAAGTAAAGCCTTATCAGTATATCAAAGAAGCAATGAAAGATACCGAGTGGGTTATCTTGGCTGTGCCTGCTGCCTTTATTGCTGATGCCCTTTTGGCTTTATCAAAAGAACAATTTGAAAACAAAAAAGTGGTTTCTGCCATTAAAGGGATGATTCCTGCTACCAATCAATTAGTTACAGATTGGGTAGAACAAACTTTTGGCTTATCGCCCAAAGACTTTTGTGCTATTGCAGGCCCATGTCATGCCGAAGAAGTAGCTCTCGAAAAACAATCGTACCTTACTATTGCATCGCCTGATATTCAGTTGGCTACACAATTTGCCAAACTAATGACTTGCCGATTTGTAAAAGCCAGTGCCATCACCGACTTACAAGGAGTGGAATTTGCGGCTGTAATGAAAAATATTGTGGCTTTGGCTTGCGGAATTACGCATGGCCTGGGCGGAGGAGATAATTTTCAGGCAGTGATGGTATCAAATGCCATGCAAGAAATAAGAAGATTTGTATATGCTGCCGCTCCAACAGATAGAGACATGAGTTCGTCGGCATATTTGGGCGACTTGTTGGTGACAGCGTACTCGCAATTTAGTAGAAACCGTACTTTCGGTAATATGATTGGGCGAGGATACAGTGTTTCGACGGCTCAAATAGAAATGAAAATGATTGCCGAAGGCTATTATGCCGTAAAATGTATTTATGAATTAAACAAAAATTTGGGTGTTGAAATGCCAATTACGCATTTTGCTTACCAAATTTTATATAAAAACAATTCTCTCCAAAAAGAATTTGAACTACTGAAAGATAAGCTTTATTAGGTATTATTTTGACAATGTTGCTCAGCAAAAGCTCTGCCATCGCACGACGGAGAAACTTTGTCAAAGTTGTTACACACCAACGAATCTAAAAATTTCGCTGAACGTAAAAAAGCAAAGAAATAGAAAACAAAAAAAGGTTTGCCCCTCTTTCGAGAAGCAAACCTAATAATTGCGTCGTTGAATATACAAACGCTGAAAGTTTATGAAAAATTTTATGCTTGAAAAATTATCGAATTA